AAATGAGGGAATAATATTCCACTGTGAATGATTACCATACTTAAAAAAATCAGTGCATGCATGATCTGTTTTTTTTAAGTGTGGTAATCGTGCACAGTGGAATATTATTCCCTCATTCAAAAGCAGTGGGCATTAGGTTATTTCCTTAACTAATACATCTTGGCTTTTGTACAGAAGGCTGCAGTGAACATGCAGCTATTTTTCTGAGTTGTGCTTTCGTTTTCCTCAGATAAGCACCCAGAAGTGGATCACACGGCAGTTCTATTTTTATTTATTTTTTTGAGGAACCTCCGTACCGTTTCCATAGCGGCTGCACCAACTTACATTCCTTCCAACGGTGCACACGAGGCCCCTTTTCTCCTCAGCCTCATCGGCACTTGTTGTTTCTTGTCTTTTGGATAATATTCATCCTAAAGACGTGAGGCAGGAGCTGGCTGTGGCCTTGATTTGCATTTCCCTGATGATGAAGGAGGCCGAGCAGCCTCTCACGTCCTTGTTGGCCACCTGTCTGTCTTCTCCGGGAAGATGTCTGCTCAGGTCTTCTGCCCAGTTCTTTATGGGATGACTTTTAAACTACGTACAGTGACAAAAGAGGTGGTGTTGGGGGCTGAGGACAGGCGCGGGGGTTGGTGAATTATTGTTTACGGGGCATAAAGGTTCATCTTTTACCAGAAAAGAATTATGGGGATGTGTAGAAGGGCTTAGCTGGCCATAGAGTGAGTGAGGATGCATTCAATGCCACTGAGCTGTGGAAAGATGGTTGAATGGCACGTCGTACCAATAGAAGAATGGTTAAGTGGGACATTTTATGTTTTCTTTCTTTCTTTCTTTCTTTCTTTCTTTCTTTCTTTCTTTCTTTCTTTTGAAAGAGCACTGAAATGGCTCTTTTAAAATTTCAGGGCTAGGAAGAAGGAGACGTTACTGGTGCCTGCTCGAGGAGATCGATGAACAACAGGATGATCGTGATTGTGATTCTTTTTTTTGCTTTTTGTGTCACACCCGGTGATGCCACATTGCACAGCGGGTAGGGCGTTTGCCTTGCATGCGGCCAACCTGGCGGACCCAGGTTCGAGTCCTTTGCCCCTCTCGGAGAGCCTGGCAAGCTACCAAGAGTATCTCGCCCACATGGCAAAGCCTGGCAAGCTACCCGTGTTGTATTTGATATGATATGCCGAACATAGTAACAAGTGTCACAATGGAGACATTACTGGGCCCGCTCGAGCAAATTGATGAACAATGGGAGGACAGTGACAGTGACAGTGACCTGGCGATGCACAGGGGTTACTCCTGGCTTCACACTCAGGAATTACTCCTGGCGGTGCTCAGGGGACCATATGGGATGCTGGGAATTGAACCCAGGTTGGCTGTGTGGAAGGCAAACACCCTACCCACTGTGCTATCACTCCAGCCCCTGTTTTGTTTCTAGCATAAAAGAATGCTCGGAGAAAAGCCCAGAGAGTTCCCTGGCGCTTTCCGCCACATAATAAGGGCATAGTCAAATCTGACCTTCTAGGAACCAGAAATGGGTCTTGACTCAGAATCTGCAGACGCACTGATCTGGGGCTCCCAACCTCGCCCTCTTTACCCCCCTGCAACCCCCCCCCCAACACACACACACACACACACACACACACACACACACACAGCACAATGTAATAGGTGAGTGCCTCAGGGTCAACAAGCTAAGCAAGCAAACTCTTCCCAGATCAGAAGTCTCTGCGAACTGCAACCATGGGTGGGCTGGTGTGCCGGTGGTGACAAGATTGGTGTGTGTCAGTGGTGAGAGTGTGGAAGAGGGGTGTGTGTGTGTGTGTGTGTGTGTGTGTGTGTGTGTGTGTGCGTGCGTGCGTGTTTGGGGGGAAGAGGGTCCTTCTCTGCTGAGGTGACCACAGCCCCGGCCCTGTCTTCTCTTCTGAAGTGGTCCTGCTTCTTGCCAGTTTGTGCCGGCTGCCTCCTGAGCAGTGGTGCTTCAACTCCCAGACCCCCACCCTGGCCCACTGCCAGTTTATGCCCGCCCAGCTGTGAAGGATGGTTTTTTTTTTTTTGTCTCACACTGTTGAAATAGAGATCAGAAGATGGATGATCTTTCACGATGCAGGAAAATGATCTGAAATTCAAATCTCAGCATCCATAATGAAGCTTGTCTGGACTGGAGCCAGGCTGTCTCGGGTTGCTTGCCGCGGGCAGTGGGGACCGGTGGCTGGTGACGGAGGCTGTGAGGCTGCACGTGCCTGGAATCCCTCTGCTGGCCCTGCTGAGGGCGGGCTGGGTCTGGCTATCTCGCCTGGTCCCGTCTCCCAAATGTCCTTCTCTCTCTAAAGTGCCCCTGCACCACAGGGGACCTGGCGGGGACACGGCTGCTTCTCCCGGAAGGGAGCATAACATGAGGCCCCCATAACCATTCCACTGGATTCCACGCCAGGCTATTCCACTCGGGGCGCCCCAGAGGGGTGCGGGCGAGAGCCCTCCCTGCCCCAAGGGACCCAGCCCCGGCAGCTGAAAACCTCCAGAACACAACCGCCGCCATGCTCAAGGCTGCTCCCACGTGCTTGGGCTGAGACTCACATGTGAGTGAACATGTTCCTGGACCACACGGCCGCAAAGCAACAGCATGATACGTCATATGACACTCCCTGCCCATTCTCCATAATTACCACGCCATATTTGATGGGGTTCAGACAGTAGGCAACAAATCATACAGGGAAATATATATATGCATACATACATATTTCCAGATATATATGCCAAAGCTCACATCACCCAAACTTTAACAACAACATGTTAGTGATATCCCACAGAATGTCTTAATGGGTCCTGCCAAAATAGAACAATCTTCACACTGTTCCCTGTATGAACACTCTTTAGTGAGTATGTTCAGCAGTTCTTCGTAATAGACAATACAAAATATATCCTTTCGGTTGTGTTTTGGGACAGGGCTTGGGGCTTGGGATGGAAACATCCCGAATTTGGTGGTGGGAAGGTGTCATGATGGTGGGATGGGTGTTGGAATATTCAATGTATTCAAATATTGTGAACTTATGAAATGAAAAAAAATGAAAAGAAAAGAAGACCTGGCAGGTCCCTGGCCAGCCTCAGACCCCCGGGTCAGCAGAGGTCAGCACCGGAGGGGCTGAGAGTTGCAGAGGGTGGGCGAGCTCATCCTGTGGGCCCCAGTCCCAGCCCCAGGCCTGTGGGTCCTGAGAAAGCTTGACCTGGTTCCTCACCCAGGCACCAGAGGGCCGGGACGGGGAGGCGCCGAGGCAGAGGCGTCGGGGTCCCAGGATGCTCAGTGTCCTGCAGAGGACGCTCTGATGGGCACCGGGAACCCTCACCTCCCAGGTGTCCACCCCGAATGCGAGTGGAGCCTCACCCCTGCGTGGCCACTCACCTCTCCCTCCAGGGAGGCCCCCAGAAAGTTCTCCCCAGGGGATCCTATCCCATGACCCGCCCCCACCCCCAACCTCTGCCCTGGCCCCTGCTGGGGTCTGGCCACTTCACGGGCCCTAAGCTCGGTTCGAGAGACCAGGGTCATGAGCTCTGCCAGGACCTCAGGGCTAGGTGCCGCCTCGAAGCTTTTATAGTCTGACCTTCTCGAAGGGGAGGAAACTGAGGCACGAATCATAGCAGATGCATGTTCAAATCGGGGCAAGTCTCCTCCTGCGCTAACCTTGCCTCGAGTGGAGGCTCAGGCATGGCCCTGCGGTGCTCCTGAGCACTTCAAGGAAAGCCTTCAGGGACACCTGTGCAGGCCGCCGCCAGGGTTGAGCGTGTTTTGTTTTTATTTTAAAGTTTGATTCCTGGCTAAATAGTGGATTTCAGGGCCCAGTGAGGATGATCTCAGCAAAGAGAAAACTATTCTGATGCTTTCTGTTTTGCTTTGCTGAGAGGAGAGAGAGAGAGAGAGAGAGAGAGAGAGAGAGAGAGAGAGAGAGAGAGAGAGAAGAGAAGAGAAGAGGAGGGGAGGGGAGGGGAGGGGAGGGGAGAAGAGGGAAGAGAAGAGAAGAGGAGGGGAGGGGAGGGGAGGGGAGGGGAGAAGAGGGAAGAGAAGAGAGGAGAGAGAAGAGAAGAGAGGAGAGAGAGGGAGAGAGGGGAGAGTGGGAAAAGGGAGAGGGAAAGTAAGAGAATGAGAAAGAGAACAAGTGAGTGAGAGAGAGCGAGTGAGCGAGAGCGAGAGAGAGCGAGCGGGAGAGAGCAAGAGAGAGTGAGAGTGAGAGAGAGTGAGTGAGAGTGAGTGAGTGAGCGAGAGCGAGAGAGAGAGCGAGAGCACTCTGCTTCTTCACTCCCCCCCTCACAAACTGGGCTCAGGTTGGTCAGACCAGGGAAGTCCAGACAGCAGGAGGCTCAGTGGCGGGAAGGCCTGGTTCTTCTCTTCTGGGCACCCCCCAAGGTGGTCTGCACGTGCTCCTCCAGATTTGACTTGAAGCCTCACCTCCGAGTGATGTTGGACAAGTCGGGTCTCTGGGAGGCACGTAGGCAGGAGCCCGGGTGCTCAGGACTGTGGCCAATGCCCTGTCCCAGGGCCCGGAGTCCCCCTGCTACCGTCCCTTCCTCTAAGTTTGCAACTCGGAAGAAGACCCTCACCCGAACATGTTGGCACCTCACCTCAGACTTGCAGTGCCTGGAGCTGTGAGAAATCATTTTCTGGGCTTATTTTATTACAGCCTTCCAAGGGACCTGAGGGGGCGTGAGGCGCTGCTCCTCTGGGAAGGGGCCCGCTGTGTGGCCTCTCGGAGCCCCTCCACCTCGCAGGGACACTAGCCCACCCATCCACAGGAGCAAGTCGCAGCGGAACAGAGAATGAGTAAATGCTCCGAGCTTTGGAGCTGAAAAGTGCTCGCTCTGGGTTCTGTTACCAGGCCACGTTGATGTTGGCTTCCAAGAAGCGGCACTGTTTTCCTCAGACCTTCGGTGCTCATCGACGCTGAGCCAGAATTGCTTCCTGGGCCAGAGCCATCTGCACCACCCACTAGGCTCTCCACGCCACGTCCCCAAACCCTTACCTCCTGGGGCCGCTCTGAGATGAGGATGAACCCGTTGCTGTCAATGATGAAGCAGTCCAGGTCCTGGAGGAAGCATAGGGCAGTCACGGGCCTGCCCACGTGATGGTCACGGCCAGGCGTCGAGTGAAGGAGCTCGTCCGTGGAGCCCAGCACGCGGGAGGCCCCCGGCTCCCAGGCCCACCACAGCACAGGGGACGAACTCACACTGTCCTCACAGCTGTTGGGACACGGCGCATCTGCGGCCCCACACTGGAAGGAAGAAGAGAAGCTTCATTTTATTTATTTATATTTTTGGCTTTTGGGGTCACACTTGAGGATGCTCGAGGGTCACTCCTGGTTCTGCACTTAAGAATCACTCCTTGGGGGCCAGAGCGATGGTGCGGCGGGGAGGGTGTTTGCCTTGCATGTCGCCAACCTAGGTTCGATCCCGGCATCCCATAAGGTCCCCGAGCACTGAGAGGAGTGATTCCTGAGTGCAGAGCCAGGAGTAACCCCTGAGCATCGCCGGGTGTGACCCAAAAAGAAAAAAAAAAGAATCACTCCTGGCGGTGCTTGGGGACCCCTATGGGATGGCAGGGATCAAACGCAGGGCGGCCGAGTGTACAGCAAACACCCTCTCTGCTGTGTTATCGCTCCAGTCCCAGAAGAAGAGGAGTTTTGGAAATGGGGAGTCTGTGTCTGTGTGTGCATGCAGATGTGTGCCATAGGGGTGTGTCTGAGAGTGTGGGTGCGTGGCAAGTGGCCAAAGGGTGTACAATGTAGGGGTATGTGTGTGTGTGTGTGTGTGTGTGTGTGTGTGTAACGTGGGCTGGTGCTGTGTGGCGGATGGGGTGGCCCGTGGGGTGTGTGATGTGTACGTGAACATGCATGTGTGGAACACAGGTGGGGTATTTCCCATGTGGGGGTTGTTGTGAGGTCAGGCTCCTGGGGATCGGCCTGGAGGTGGCAGGCTACCCTTAGAATCCTCCGGGGTGGCTCTTTCCTAGGGTCCCCCAGGAGCCCCTCCTTTTGTCATTCGGCCTGATGTAGTGGGTGAGGCCATGTTCTTGGCATCTTCATTCTGTGGCTCCCCAAACTTGCCCAAAGTGGGAGCAGGGCCGTGAGTGACCGTGTGGGGGCAGGGCTGGGACTTGGGACCGTGTGCAGGGCAGTGAGGAGGCCCTGGGAGCACGGAGGCTCGGAGGGGAGGGGAGGAGGGGAGAGGCAGGGCAGGCAGCATGTGGAGCACTGTGGGCGAGGGAGGGTTCAGGCGGGAAAACGGGCCAAGCTGGGCTGGGGCTGGAGCTGTCTAGTCCTCAACTTCCCTTTTGGGAGGGGACTGTTTGGGCCACACGTGGCGGTCCTCAGGGCTTAGTCCTGGCTCTGTTCTCAGGACTTACTCCAGACTGTGCTCAGGGATCACTCCTGGCAGGGCTCAGGGGATCGTCTAGGGTGCTGGGGGGGAACTGCAAATGCCTTAACTTCCTGCACTGTCTCTCTGGCCCCTGGATCTTAACTTCTTTTTTTTTTCTTTTGGGTCACACCCGGCGAAGCTCAGGGGTTCCTCCTGGCTCTGCATTCAGGAATCACTCCTGGCGGTGTTCAGGGGACCCTATGGGATGCTGGGAATCGAACTCGGGTCGGCCGCGTGCAAAGCAACCGCCCTCCCCGCTGTGCTATCGCTCCAGCCCGGGATCTTCACTTCTTAAACTGTGGGCCATGACCCCCTCTGGGGTTAGATCATAGGATGTGGGGAAGTAATGAGAAGGTTGTTTGAAAATAAATTTGTGATTTATGATCGGTAAACGTTATTGGATGCCCATGTTCTACATGTGGGGGATGCGTACGAATTTCTCAGGTGAAAGGGGTAAGTGGAGGAAGGCCAGGGAATTCTGCCCTGTGCGTTCTCCTGGCTCCGCCAGGCCCGGGGAGGGGGGATGCTGTGTTGTGCCCTGTATCATGGGTCCCAGCTGGGAGGGAGCACCGATATCGGGGTGCAGAGACGGAGCCCCCGCACGGAGGGCTGCGGGGCTCTGAGAGGCCAAGGAGGCCAGGCTCCAGGAGAACAGGCGAGGGGTTCTGGAGAAGCGGGGGAAGTGGGGTGCTCCTAGGAGGAGCCCCGCCACTCCCCCCTGGGCTGCCCGACCCGGGCCAGGCCCTGGCACCCACCTGCCGTGTGGCTGTCTGAAACACCTGCCGCAGAAACCACAGATGCACCTGGACTCCCACCGCTGCCAGACGGGCCGGGCCGGGAGGGCAAGACCGGATGCGGGTTAGGGGGTCAAGGGGGGCGGTGGGAGGGAAGTGAGAGGGAGGGAGAAAACAGATTCAAGTTAGAGCGATTCGAGTTGGTGCATCAGCAGGTAAAGGGGGTTGGGGAGGAGTCGAGAGGGAAGGGAGGAGGAAGCGGGGGAGTCCGGGAGGGGAGGGGAAAGACAGCCCCCGGGCTTCAGCTTCTCCCATGGGAGAATGTTTCCAGCATCGCCCCAGGAAAGGAGGCTTAAGCTCTGGAGGACAGTGAGGCCATTGTCCCAAAGCAGTGGGCAACCAGCAGACCCCTCTCCGTGCAGGTGCAGAACCAGAGCCACCAAGCCACTTGTTCAGTGGGACACCCCCCCGCCCCCCCCAAGAAGTATACAGGCTGAGTCAGGACTTCTGGCCCCTGGCTCACTGGGCAATTTCTGGGGTTCCCCTAGATTTCAAGCTTTTGTTTTTTAAAGCTTTTTGGGTCACACCCCGGCATTGCACAGGGGTTCCTCTTGGCTCATGCACTCAGGAATGACCCCTGGCGACCCGATGGGATGCTGGGAATCGAACCCGGGTTGGCCGCGTGCAAGGCAGATGCCCTCCCCGCTGTGCTATCGCTCCAGCCCCTAGATTCCAAGCTTGACCTGACAACCTCTCTTGCTTTCAGTTCCTGCTCCAGATCTCCCAGTCTTTGTAAGAAGCCTTTTTTTTTTCCTTGCTGAAAGTTCTGGTCACTTTGATCCATGTTTGCAGCAACTTACAAGAGTCACCCGGGAGGTTTTGGTTCTTAAACTTGAAGAACCAAGCTGTGCTCAAAGATTGGGGACGAATGACCAAGGAGAAAAGTCAAAATAAGTTTTGTTTTTTAAAGTGGCGTGGATTTCCCGCTCCCTGGAATAAAAATATTAAAAATAAGTTGCACGCCAGGCACGATTCCTTTCTGAGCTCATCCCAGACATACTGCTGCCAACTCAACAACTGGATTCGACTTTAGGGCCACTTCGGGACTAGAGGCTGGCATGGGTCACATGAGCTAGCCCTGAGCTCAGAACCAGGACCCACGGATCTGCTGCCAGGCATTTAGCCTCACACTTACCTCCGAATCAGGAAGGAGCTGCAGGCCGGGTGGTCGGGCTGCCGCCCCAGGGTTCAGCACCCTGGGGAGTGGCCATTGGCCTGGGCTCTCAGCCTCACGCGGAGACAGTCTACCACCCCCATGACCCTTATGGGAAAATTTTCCATCACATTCATTCTGTGATCCTGAAATTTAACTGGCTCCTCTAGACTTGAACAATATGGCACAGAGTTGCAGATGACAGCTTCTCCCCCCAAGCCCCGCCCCAGACGGGAATGATCCATTTGAGGGAAAGACAAAGGTCATGAGACCCAAGTTCTGGGGGTAGGTCTGCCAGGTTGTTACTGGGTTGTAAAGTGCGTGTTGATTACACTTTGCCTAGAAAGGTACAACAAGTAGATTACTGATGTAGCACTGTAGCACTGTCCTCCCGTTGGTCATCGATTTGCTCGAGTGGGCCCAGTAACGTCTCCATTGTGACACTTGTTACTGTGTTTGGCATATCAAATACGCCACGGGGAGCTTGCCAGGCTTTGCCGTGTGGGCGAGATACTCTCTGTAGCCTGCCAGGTTCTCCGAGAGGGACAGAGGAATCGAACCCGTGTTGTCTGGGCCGGCCATGTGCAAGGCAAACGCCCTACCACTGTGCTATCGCTCCAGCCCAGTTGATTACACTTTCCCTAGAAAGGTACAACAAATAGATTACTGATGTATGAAAATATTTTTTTTCTAGAGTCTTGTCCCTGGAAATTTTACATGCATCAAAATGATCTGGGGAGCTGGAGCGATAGTACAGCCGGTAGGGCATTTGCCTTGCATGCAGCTGACCCGGGTTCGATTTCCAGCATCCCAGATGGTCCCCCGAGCACCTCCAGAAGTAATTCCTGAGTGCATGAGCCAGGAGTAACCCCTGAGCATCACCATGTGTGACAACCCCCCCAAAAACAACAACAACAACAAAACAACCAAAAAACCCCCAAATGATCTGGAAGTAGAGCAAGAACTTTCTGGAATGTTCTGTAATTGGAGCCTATTCCACAAATGGTGCTGGGAACCCTGGTCAGCCATCTACTAAAAGTGAAGACTGCCATCTCGATCCATACACAAGGCCAATTCAGAATGGATTAGAGAACTTGATACCTAACCTCAGTCCACATATTGAAAACGAAGAACGAAAACTTGAATGAAAGAGGAGGATTCATGCTTTTGGGGTTTTAAGACCCGCCCTCAGCATTGTTTTTTTCAGAGAAGTGTCAAGTTATGAAGGAATGAAAGTGGGTACCCAGGGCTGCAGCAATAGCCCAGCAGGCAGGGCATTTGTCTTGCATGCAGCTGACCCGGGTTTGATTCTCAGCATCCCCTATGCTTTTTTTTTTTCTTTTTGGGTCACACCAAGCGATGCACAGGGTTTATTCCTGGCTCTACACTCAGGAATCATTCCTGGCAGTGCTCGGAGGACCCTATGGGATGCCAGGGATTGAACCCGGGTCTGTCACATGCAAGGCAAATGCCCTCCCCACAGTGCTATGGTTCCACCCCCAATACTATGGTTCTTTCCCAGCCCCTTAGAAGTTGGGGACTCAATCCTCCATGGTGGGACAGTCTTTGGGGGGATTCTTGGGTGGGATAAGGGGTGGCTTCTCCTGGCAGGCTCCATTTCAGCTGCCCTGTATGCCCACATCCCCACCAGGGACCAATAGGAATGGTCCAGTTTGGAAACAAACCTTTCCTGTCTAAACCCTCGAGACTCTCCACGTGGGGCCACGTTTTCGATCCATACTTGTATTCTGCTGTTTTCCCTCTCACAGCCAAGTTCTCCAGCGCGTTCCCAGGCTGCTAAATCTGCCTGTTTCTCTCAATCCTGTGCTGCCCCTGAGTCCAGGAGCCCCCCTCTCACCCCTCCCCCGCTCCCACCCAGCTCTCCATGGTCTGGACTGCACACGAGAGCAACCTTTCTGAAGTTCCAGCCATGACTCAGCCTTCCATCAGCACCCCCGTTGAAACTATCCCACAGTTCTTTTTTTCTTTTTTTTGGGGGGGGTCACACCCGGCAATGCTCAGGGGTTACTCCTGGCTCATGCACTCAGGAATTACTCCTGTCGGTGCTCGGGGGACCATAAGGGATGCTGGGAATCGAACCCGGGTCAGCTGCATGCAAGGAAAACGCCCTACTCGCTGTGCTATCGTTCTAGCCCCTATCCCACAGTTCTTATTTATTTATTGAGCCATACCTGGCAGTGCTGGAGTGATCTCACAGTGGGTAGGGTGTTTGCCTTGCACGCGGCCAACCTGGCGGACCCGGGTTTGATTCCACCGCTTCTCTCGGAGAGCCCAGCAAGCCACCAAGAGTGTCTCGTCCGCACGGCAAACCCTCCCACGGCTCTTCTGAAATGAGGCCCTTAAGACTTCCCAGGCCTGGTCCTCCCAAACCCTCTGGATTTCTCCTGACTCGCTTTTCCCTCCAGCAGGTATGACCTGTGCTCCGCCTGAGTCTCTACGGGAGCCTCGCTCTCTCCTCTTCCTGCAGTGCTCTCCCCAGAAATGTCCAGGCCTGCTCTTCGCTTCTGACCCCCACCCAAACCTCCTTGACTGGGGATTCCCCCACCCCTTAACTCCTGTTGGGCCTCCCCCATCTTCCCAGATAGAGCAGTCCTCCCCTCCTCCCTCCAGCGCTTCTTCTGGGTGTTAGGACCGAGATCACCCCAAAGTATTCCGAGAGACAACGAGCCCAGCGGGAATGCAAACCGCACACCGAGCCTTTATTACTCCAGCTAGCTGGGGTCGAGACATCCTGACTCATCAAAAACAACTCCAAAGGCAAAAGTAACTTACAAAGAGTCCAAAGCGAACAAAAGCATCCCAAAGCAAATTATCAAGAAAACAAGCATTCCCAAGTAAGGAGACATCCCCAGTTCCCATACATCAAGAAAGCATCTTATCAGCTAGACACGAAAGCATGAAAGTCCACATCTCAAGGAGGGAGATGCAGGCATCACACGTACTCGGCCACATGGGCACAAGTAGCACAAGGGCTCGGGCAGCATATGCGCGCCCCTCCTTTGTTCACGGTGGCCTTTATCGGGTTCCTCCAACCTGCCCCCACGTGGGCTTCTACCTTGTAAAAGTCCGGGGCTACCAGGGGCGTTGGGAGTGGTGACTGTCTTCTTTGAAATTCCTTTCCTGGCCTTCAGTTCCTGCTGGAGCTTCTCTGGGCCTGTTGCTGTAAACTAGTTAACTCAGTTATCCCTCCTGGCCAGAGCTGCTCCCTACAGCTTTGCGACCAGGGTGAGAAGAGGTGAGCGAACTGCTCCTCACATCCCCTTTTTTCTAGCATCTCACTGAGGAACCTTTTGCTTCTCACACCAGGAACGAGTCATTCATTGCTTTTCTCGCAGTGTCTCCCACCCAGCAGCATGGAGGATAACAGCCAGCAAGGTCTGCACCTAGGAAAAACACACCTAGCACCAAGGCAGGTGCGGTGGGGTTCGAGAAAGAGTCTGGCAGTGAAGAAATAAATGCGGTGGATTCTGCTGAGTCAGCCTTGGGGTGGGAAGTAAATTACCCAAGATGCCTCTGTCCCAGCGCCAAGGCTCTGCAGCCCGGGGAACCCTCCCCCGCGGAGCCCGGGCCTGCCCTGGAGTGCCCTGGACACCCTCGAGACTCCGCATTTGGGCTCTCAGTCCCTCCAAGATCTCGGAGGGAATCTGCTCAGGAGCCAGTTGACGCCAGGAAGAGAACTTCCTGCCAGTTCCACGCGGAAGATGCAGACGGCGGCGCGTGCTGACACGGAGTGGGACGCGGGGGGGGGGGGGCAGTTTTGGGCATCTGTGCTCTGCCCGGCCTCAGGGTTTATACCCTGGTGTGTCCACCGAATGCCTCGCACCCCTAGCCTCCAGGGCAGTCCTGAAC